CCGGGAGCGGCCACTGCACTCCAGTCTGGGCAACAGAGTGAGACTCCAACTCAAAAAAAAAAAAAAACAAGCAGGAATATAGGTGCCTAAATATTTTTTTCTTATGATATGTGTGTGAAGTATTTATGCTATAAAGACATTAACCTTTTTTTCTGTTACATTTTTCCTAGTCTATTTTTTTTTCCCTTCATTTTGTTTACAGGGAATTGTTTCCTGTTTTTGTTTTTTAACATAAAATGCTTCATGAATTTTCCTTGTGCAGGGACTATCCTAATCTTGACTGTTCTAATTTTAATATATGTGCTGCCAAAGCAAGCACAGGAATTTGTTTTTTTATGTAGATGTTACACAATATTTTTTCCTTTGTGATTTCTTCTATTATTTCTAAACTTAGGAAGTTGCCTAGTAAGTGTTAAATTCCTAAAACAACATGATAAAGTAATGAAGACCGTGGTCTTTGAAGTCAGACAAAACTGGGTTCAAATTCTAACACAGCTGCCCTCTTGCAGTTACTTAAGTTCTCTGAGCTTCGGTTTGCTCCTCTCAAAAATCAGAGTAATAATACTTCCTTGCAACAATAATTGTTATTATCCTATGCTTTCTATCATTTTATGCTTAAAATAGTAATATTTAACTTTGGTGATCTAGAATTAATTTTGTAAATGGTGTGAGGAGTGATCTAAACCAATTTTTTTTTTTTCCAAATTGTTCCATTTTGACTCTTAATAATTCTTTCTGGGAAATTAAACAACCATTCAGAACAAAAGGGACAAACTACCTTGTTTAAACACCTACTCTATGCTTGATGTTTCCAAACATGCGATCCTTAGGACAGAACTCCCAGGCAAGTGGCATTATTCCCACATTCCAGATGGAGAAACTGATGCCTAGAGAGGTTGTTGGATTGTTCAAGCTGATACTGGTGGGACAAACCTGGAAACCAGGCTCACTGGGCTCCCAGTATTTTACTCTTCCTAGGGGGTCATACTCCCTCCACCCTCAGCATGATAGCACTCCTTCCCCCTCAGCCCTCAGCCTGAGACCCCTCACAGTAGCCAGAAACACAAGACTATAGAGTGTCAGGAAAGGGTCTCCCCCAAGCTACCCTGGCATGGAGCTTAGTAGGGCCCAAGCAAGAGGCCTGAGCAACCCAGAAAGGCCAGTAGTCGAGAGAAAGGTGTTGAAGGACAGGTGGGGGGACTGTGTGCTTGAGGTGATGCAGTGTGTGCTGACCTAGAGGTGGGAGTGCAAGGCCTGGGAAGGGGCAGCACAGAGAGCTTGAAGGTCAAGAACACATAGGAAGGGGGTGAAATTAAGACTGGGGAGCCAGCTGATATGGGGGTGCTCCCGTCCCGTCTGAGGGAAGTGCCTCCTCTTTCATCTTGTGTGTTTTCAGGTCAAAGCGGAAATCCTCACTACCTTTGCTCTCTGTGGATTTGCCAACTTCAGTTCCATTGGGATCATGATGGGAGGCCTGAGTGAGTCCTGTGGGGGCCTTCCCAAAGTCTAGGAGAGTCAGGGACCTGAACTTGCTTGGGGACATGCAGGCCCATTTGTTGAAGGCAGGGCCTGAGTAGGATGGCCAGGGAGGTTCCTTTCAGCCCTGGAATTCCATGATGCTCTGCTGCTGGGAGTGGCCTGGGAGGCTAGTACCTTGGCTTTGGACGCCAAGCCTGGCTCAGGGATGAGAGGTGTGGTACTGGTCCATCCTCCGAGGCTTTGTCTGCTGCTTCCCACAGTCACAATGGACAGGCCTGGTGGAGCCTAGGGAGGAAAGCTCTGCACAGTTCTCTGCTCTTTATAAATATTTCCGCTTCTCAAAGCCACCCTTCCAGGTGGTATAATCATCCCGTTTTACAGAGAAGACTGAGTCTTAGAGAAATGAAGTGAAGGCCCACGTCACTCTGCTAATAAGAGGCTGAGCCTGTGTTTAATCCTGATCCTGCCTGACTCCAGGCTCATTGATGGTATGTGCAGAGGTGTGGGGCATCACCTAGGGGCCCACGCCAGGCCATAGTGGACTCCTGAACTCAGCAAGGTGTCAGGAAGTCAGCGTCTATCCCTTGGGCCAGCTGGAAGATGGAGGGAGGGCAGCTGATGCAGCCAGGGTTGCAGAACATGGCAGAGAGGGACCGGCTTCCTTGGCCCTGGGCACTCCCGTTCACTTGCAGCCTCCATGGTCCCCCAACGGAAGAGTGACTTCTCCCAGATCGTGCTCCGGGCACTCCTCACGGGGGCCTGTGTGTCCCTGGTGAACGCCTGCGTGGCAGGTGAGTGCAGGCTGGGCTACACAGGACTGGGAGCCCTGGTTTCCTAACTGGCCCCAGGGCCACGGCCGGGCTCTTCAGCTCTGCTTACCTGCTGCTTTCCCTCTGCAGGGATCCTTTACGTGCCTAGGGAGCCTGCTGTCAACTGCGTGTCCCTCCTGAACACGACCCTCAGCAGCAGCAGCTTTGATGTATACCAGTGCTGCAGCAAATTCTTCCAGAAGTGAGAGCCTGGGCCTTGGGGGCTGTGGGGTCACCAACAGTGATAGGGTACCGAAGGCCTGAATGACTGGGGGATGCCTTCGCCACCCGGATGAGGGGTAAAATGTTATGGCTGTGGCTGACGTGACCAGGGGAGGAGGAAGTAAAGGCTTGAGGACCAAATTTGAAAAGGAAGGGTGGACCAGAGGTGTGAAGAAACTTTTTCAGGGTTGCACAGCCTGCTAGTGGCCAGCAGAGCCAGGCCAGGAGCCCGCACTGCAACCTTTGCTTTCTCTACAGCAACGACTCAGAGTTTGGCCCAGGTGCCCTGAGCAACTGCTGTCGATTTTACAACCACACGGCGTGTGCGTAATGAGGACAGAACGTCTTTGTGCCTTCTGAGGGCTGTTCCTCTCCAAGAAGCATCTGTCACCACCCTCCCCTCTCCAGGTCCTTCCTCGGGGAAGCCACAGGGCTTAGACCCAGCTCAGTCCCACAGTTGGGGAGGGATAATACAGCAAACAGGCAGAGAGGAAGTGGAGACTTAGGTAAGGCAAGGACACCTCCCATCCAGCCCCCTTTCTGCTCCCTGTTTTCCTGCCTCCCCCAGAGTAAATCCTCAGCGTCACCTCTGCCTCCTTCCTGTTCCCCTCCACATCCAGTCATCACCCTGGTTCTCTCTACTCCCCCCTCCTTGGAGTCCCTCACATGCACCCTTCCCTTCTGCTGTGGGCCCCACACCAAAGCCTCCTCCCCTCCCCTCTAGCATTGCAGCCACCCAATCCCCTTCCTTCTTGGGCAGTAGAATCTCTCTGTGGCTTCCTCTGCCAGACGGTGTTTCCTGGAGACCCTTTTTCTCCTCTCAGAGAAACCCCCACTGCCTTCCCTCATAGCGCTTCTCAAACTGATGTGCTGTGGAACCCCATCTGAAGAGGTATTCTGAGGATTCCATGACCCCACTAGGTTGGGAAAATACTGGGTTAAATAAAGTCTGACAGGGTTATTTGGGTGTTTGCTTATTTGTTTGTTTGTGTTTGTTTTTAAACTGTGAACTTGTCAGAGCTTGATGTGAAATATGATGAGGCTTTTTTTTTCAAATTTATTTGACCGTCAGAACCTTTTTGATGGAAGCATCTTTTAGTTGAAGGTTTTATGGACTACAACCTGGGAAATATTGGTTGATGTTCAAACTGCTTTATTCTATAACGTAACTGTAATACTAGCAAATGTTTACACAGCACTATGTTCTGGGCACTGCTCTTAGTGCTTTATTTATTTTAACTCTGTCCTGACACCAACCCCGCAAGGTAGGCCTTATTATTATCCCTAGTCGAAGAGTCAGAGGTCCAAACGGGTTAGGCCTAAAGTGACACGGCTGCAGGGAGGCAGAGGCAGGCCTGGAGCCAGGGCCTTCCAGTTCCACAGGCTGCTGGGTTCGACCTTTCTGCTGGGCTGGGGGTGTTCAGGGAACTGTGTTGTGTGGCTCACTCTCACCTCCTTCCCTGCCTTTCCTTTGTCCCCAGCCTCTGCTCTAGTAGGTCATGCTTGACGTCTTTACCCACCCTGTTTCTGGAGGCTCATTACCTTGTGTGTCCCCTCCATCTCCCTCCTGCCTCCACTGCTCCTGTCTCAGTTCTCATCTTCCTCAGCAGCTTTGACTTAGTGGCCCTGTGCCTGTGGCCACTGGGATCCTGTACCTTCACCCCTACCTGTCAGGCCCAATTCCTTCCCAGCTCAGACCAGCCTTGACCTGAGACAGAGGGAATATGGAGCCCTGGGCAGCACTCAGCCCCCACAAGCCAGGTTCTGCTTCTGTTGTGCCATGGACCTTGGTTCCAGTGGGCACTGGCTCTGCTCCTTGTGACCCCCCCCCACAGCTGTCCCAGGTCTCTGTCCCAGGTCCCTCAGGGCCTGAATCCTCCCTTAGTTCTGCAGAATGGAGGCTTGGCCTTACTCTTATACCTTATGGCACGGCCATTGCCTTCTCTCTGAAGGCCCATCAGGCCCTGCAGCTTGCTCTAGCTCCCCTTGAGCTATGGGGAGGATGTTCTGCTGATGTGAACGGCACAACCGGCTCCCCGTATCAGCGCTCCACCCCTTCCCTGCCTATCTGTTGGCTTTAGCTCCACCAGCTGGGTTGTGGAATAGTCCAAGGACTCCCCCTGATCTCCTTTCCTAGACTCTGTGCACACTCATCACATGGCCAGTGACCTTCCCTAGAAGACTAAACCCCTTGAACATCGGGCTCATAAGGCACCATAGTGCCTTTGTCCCCTAGGGCTGACATAACAAAATACCATAAACAGGATAGCTTGTCAACACATAGTAATTTACTTCTAATGGTTCTGCAGGCTGGGAAGTCCAAGATCAAGGTGCCAGGAGATTCAGTGTCTGATGACAGCCTGTTTCTCATAGATGGCAACTTCTCATTGTGTCTTTACATGGTGGAAAAGGCAAACAAGCTCCCTCAGGCCTCTCTCTCTTCCTCTCCCTCTCTCTCTCTCTCTCTCACTCTCTCTCTCATTCTCTCTCTCTCTCTCTCTCTTTCTTTCTCTCTCTCTCTCTCTCTCTCTTTGAATCAGGGTCTCACTCTGTCACCCAGGCTGGAGTACAGTGGCATGATCACAGCTACTCACAGCCTTGACCTCCTGGGCTTAGGCAATCTTTCCACCTCAGTTTCCAGAGTAGTTAAAACTAGAGATACACACCACCACACCTGGCTAATTTTTTGATTTATTGAAGAGACAAGGTCTTACTATGTTGCCCAGGCTGGTCTCAAACTCCTGGACTCAAGCAATCCTCCTGCCTCAGCCTCCCAAAGTGCTGGGATTATAGGCATGAACCACCACACCTGGCCTCTCACACCTCAGATGAGGGCACTAATCTCATTCATGAGGACTTTGTGCCCATGATCTAATCACCTCCCAAGAGCCCCACCTCCTAAATATCATCACCTTGGGAGTTAGGATTTCAGAATATGAGTTTTAGAGAGAAAAGACTATTCAGACCACAGCACATAGTAATGGAAGTTGTTGACAATAGGTTAACAGCCTATTGAAAATGGGGACTCTGTATTATCTGTGCAACCTTCCTGTAAATCTAAAATATTCTAAAAGTTTGTTTCAAAAACTACACGGACACAGGTGCAGTGTAATCTGTAATTCAGCCCATGGACAATGTCCTAGACAATGCATGACCCATCAAGGTCTCGGTTGACCATTGGGCTACATTGGCCCCCCCCTTCCCACCCATTCTTCCCATGGCTCTGCTCTCACTTCTGCCACCCTTTCACTTTAATTCAACTTCCTGTCTTCAGCAGAATATTAATTAGTCCTGACCTCTTTCCCACTGCATGGAGAACATCATCTGCATGAAATTACTTTTGACTCAGAATCCGTGAACTCTAAGTTTAGACGGGACCTTGAACATCATTTTGAGGGTGTCTGCCTCCCCACCCAACTTTTCTGAGAATTTGCACAACCACTGCATGGATGGCCTCTGTCACCATGTTTTTAATGTTTGAATCATGAGACTCCACTTCCACGAGTGATTTGCTTATTGAACCAAGACTGAATGTCTGACTTAGGGCCAGCCAAATCCATATTTGTGCCAATGGTCTTTCAGATTCTTGGGAAGGAATATGAATTATAAAACCCAGAAACAGAGAGCTGGGAGCTGAGTCACCATGGTGGGGCTGGGTCTTTGAACTGATCTCATTCCTTCACTTCCTGCAGCATGGTTGTTCAGCTTTTCCTTGGATTTGATGACAGCTGGATCCTTTTCAGAAATCTCCTCTAACCTGAGTAAATTTGAGGTCTCTCTTTGTAATCAGAAGGACATTGTCCAGCATAGCCACATTGTTAAATCTCCCAGTCTGCTTAGAATCAAGCAGTCATTCAGCATTTGCTTAAATCCCATCAAAGACAAGAAACTCACTACCTCTCGGTGCAGCCCATTTCATATTGGAGAGCTCCACTTCTGAGTACATTCTTTTTTGATTGTGCATCAAAAAATATTGTGCTTTGATCCCAGTTTTGCCATTCTGGGCCATTCAGAACAAGCCTTATGTGTATATCTTTTGTTGTTCTCCTTCCTACTTATCAAAGAAATACATGCTCATTATTTTTAAAAAGTTCCATCTTATGGGAGCCTTATAGAAATATCCTAATCCCTTTTCCTCATGACAGTCCTTCAGTCATTTGAGTATGGTGACCATCCAGGTTTCCCTTCTCTGAGTCAGGAACTCTGAGTTCTTTCAGTTGTCCCTCACATAACACACAGCAGTTTCAAAATTTGCCCCAAACCTGGTTTTTAGTTGCACTGTATTCATTGCAGATGGTGCATGAGTCATGAGCAGGTCCACGATGAAGCCAGAACACAGCATGGTTAATATGATCTCATGGGTGCAACCAAGGTGATGTGATGAGACTGAAGATTAGATTTGGCCTTGGGAGGGAATTCAGAAGAGGCAGACTTCTTAGGAAGGAAGGATGTTAAGCTACATGCCTGCTTCAGAAATCTTCAAACCTGAGGGCTTGCATGTTGAGGATGAAACTTGAGAAGGACCTGTCATTGAGGGAGAAAGTCCTGGTCCAGATCACAAAGGGGACCAGAGATTGGCTATAGCAGGAATAGGGTGGGTGTGACCTTATCTATCAGGGCACCCTACTTGCCCACCATCAAAGAGTGCAACAAGCTTCTAACTTGCCTAGAGGTTGCTGTCCATTCCCAGAGGCAGGAGAGGGATTGCTGCTTTGGAGAAACTTCTGACAAAGATATGGAATGGTGGCATGGGAGTAATTTGCCAACAAAGACTTTGTGACTGGAAGTGAAGGGGAGACGGCACAGCCAAGCACTCATTCCACACTTGAGGGTCAAGGCATTTAGGAAAGAGATTCTGCAAGGAAAGCAGCCGTTGAATGGAACCCTCACTCTGCTGTGGCAAAAGATCCCAATGAGGAAAGAAAGGCAGAGGTGACACAAGAAGCCAACATGGCTACAAATGGATAGCAGGAATCTTGATCATAAGCTCAAAATTTTTAAATAATAGGCGCCATGATCTGGTTAAAGGATATATGACCTGGTGTAGAAAGACAGCTGACTGTCCTCCAATCAGCAGTCTCCCCTTTTTTCTTTAGCAATAACTGAAAGTTCACCTAAGATAAACTCTACTTTCTTTTCTTTCCTCCCCTATTTTTGTATTTTATTTTATTTTTGTTTTGTTTTGTTTTGTTTTGAGTTGGAGTCTCACTCTGTCGTCCAGACTGGAGTGCAGTGGCCACTCCTGGCCACCTCAGCCTCC